TTATTTTTATATTGTGTATTAGAAATGAGAAAAAAAAAAAAGAAATGAACCTGCTATAGATTTAGACCAAACCATATTTAGTGTGTGCTTCTGCCCCTCTTTCTTTCTCCTTACTTTCCCTTCTTGTAATTTAATTTCATCAGTTTATTTTCACAAATAATGGGAGTAGGAGAAGTTTGGAATCAAATAACTCATCATTTCTGTAGTTTTGCCAGATGGACTATAAGAATGGTAATTATTCAGCTGTCCTAGATTTTTCAAGGATGTTCTTAAGTATGACATGAGAATAAATTATTTTTATTTATTTTTGTCTAACAGTTTATTGTATTGTTTTTAAAATAATAAAATGTTAGTAATGACTTGTTTGAAAATATTTAAATTTTAATACTTTTTTTGGGAAAGACTTGAAATAATTATTACATTGATTTTTTCTTCATATAATCCAGTGCTTTAGAAGAAATTGTTTTGGTCAAGGAAATTTGGTAGTATCAGATTTTGCCTTTATGTGTTCAGATTTTGTCTGTGTTGTTGAGTCAGCAGCATTTAACCTAGGAAAATATGTTTAATTTTGCTTTTTGCAGAGTGGCCTCTACTTTGATAAGAGGAACTATAGCAGTCTTAGACATAGCAAACCTACCTCTGCATACTGCATTCGGGTCTGTCTAAAGTTTTTTGGCTTCATGTATTTTATCCACTTTTAACACATTTCTAATCCCCCATTTTGCATTTTGACTAGTTGTAACTAATAGACAAATGGCTGTGTACATACCAGTTTTTGGTAATTGAATTCATATAGTCCATGTGAGTGTGCCTTCAAATGAAACTGTTAGAGTAGGCCCAAGTACATTTCATAAGATGGATACCCTTTTTAAAAACTTTACACATGAAAATATAAACTGTATACGAGATGAGAAGAATGTATTTTTTAAATGTTAGACTCTTGTTTTTAAAGCATTTGACGTATCATACATTTAAAACATACATTCACTGTATGAGACACAGTCATTTAAAATAATTCAGGGCTGGGAATGTGGCTCTATGGTAGAGCACTTGCCTAACATGTGTGAGGCCCTGGGTTTAAACCTCGGAACTTGGGGAATGGTGGTGGTGAACTTGTAAAACCTGCACACATAATTTCAGTACCATTATTTCTATGTCTGATTTGTTTTAGTAAAAAAGACATGAAAATTATATCCTTGGTGACATCAGGAAAAGATAATTGTAATCCTTTAAAAAACATACTGTAGGGGACCAAGAGATGAAGGGATGGGGAGGGAGGAAAAAGGAAGGGGAAGTAAAAAAAAAATACCCACCATAAGTATAATCACTGTGTACTGCAAATATGTACTAATAAAAAAATTTAAAAAGCCATGCCCTTTCAGTACATGCATTCATGGTGACTGGTACAGTTTATTCAGTTAAACTAAAGCAATTTGTCCATGGCATCTTTTGACATACCAGTTTTCTAAATTGTTTGGAAAAGAATATTTGTGGCTGTAATTCAAAGCTAACTTCTCTGTTCCCCAGTACCCAGTCTAAACCCATTAGAAATTTGTCATGAAGTCAGTGAAAATATCACAAGAACTTCTGATAACTGGGATGTGGTTGCCGTTTGGCACACTCTCAGTGTCATGGCCCTCTTTTCTTCAGTGTTTCTTAGGTTCCCACCTCATATCCTAACAATATTCAAAGGTCCATAGGACTTAAGACACATTTATAGAAGACTTAGCAGATGATTTTGTTTCTTATCCCTTACAGTTGGTATTACAAAAAAGTTTCTAGTAACAGGTTTCTTAGTGCATGTGTTTCTAAACTACTTTTAAGTAAGCAGGAATTGCTAATGAATTATAGAATATAAAACTATAAGCTTCTTGCTCCCAGCATGCTGAGACCAGTTCATTTTTGCTTATTTATTTTGCTTTGTTTTTCTTAGCAGTCTTCTTCCTTCTACAGTGACTCTTTGGCAATATCTAAGAGCAACAGGGTTAGTACTTTCTGAAGAAAGTGTTGTCTTTAAAACTACCAATTATGTTTCTTGAGGTTTAATAATGCATTTTTTTCATAGGTTTCTTCTACTGCAAATTCTGGTCTGCTGAGAAGTACTAGTCTGGTTTGTGTTTTCCTCTTCTGCTGTGTGTACTGCTGTAGGGCCATAGTTATGGTGCTGTGTTTCCTAAAAATTTTTCTCCAAAATCGTCAAAGACACAAGGGTTTAGTGGCATGTATATTGCAGAATGTACTGTTTGTACTTAAAATATAAAACTTTAGGACATTGAGATTAGGGGGTCTTCCCTTCATAGAGGTAGATACTGCTGACTGTTGCTTAGACGCTGTTTCCTGCAAAGAAGGTAGATTTGCATGGGTCCCACCACACATACTTTTGTGAGATGGCTGCCCATGGAAAGGATGTCCTATTTTTCTTTAGGACAGCTGTGACCTTGACCATGCTAATCTGTATTCTAATAAAGCAAGCTGGCTAGAAAGCTAAAGCAGTAGCTTTGTGTAATGTGCAAGTTGTTATTTGGTTGTTTTCAAGGTTATAGTATTGTGACCTGTACTAGTAGACTGGGACTCTTGAGATTTTATGACTTAATGTGATAATGGGCAGAATGTTCTCTTATGTCAGTTTCCTTTTCTGCTATGTTTTCTCTTTTTGAGATAATAAATTAATAATCTTAGCTCTCTTATTTTCATAACATGACGGTGAGAGAAAATACTATAACTAGTGGTGCTATTGTATGAAATGTGAAGTTTGAAGTTATGAGACTGAACAATTTACTATCTTCAGTTTTCACTTCATTCTTCAAAACTTTCGGAACAGAGTACTGCAAAAGAAAAAGTTATTTTTAAAACAACTTTGATGATAAATAGATAAATGGCATTTCTTTTGTTCTTTAGACCTTATTATACAGTGGTTCCAGATTATATAACCCCTATGGTTCTCAAACTGTAAGTCTATACAGGGAATTTGTGAGGAGGGGAATGATATAGGAAGGTACAGATTACTTACAAAGAAAAGGTTACTTAATCTGAATTGTAATTACAAGATGTGATTTATTCACTGAACTAGCCATGTATGGCTCTTATTCACACTTTGTGAAAGGGCTTGCTTGAAATTGTGGCTTAAGTATGAGGGGAGTAAGTAGAGAAACCTCTTTTGTTGCGCCTTAGTTTCTCCTGAAGAAGTCCAAGCAGCTCTTCTGAGGACATCTCTGTTATCTCCTCTCAGAGGGCTGGTGGATCCTGAGGGTGGGAGTAGGGTTGAGTTCCAGACTAGAGAATTATAGTTACCTTTACCCTGGGAATAAGGGTCAGGTTAGGTCTGTGATCATTAATGTGTTCCCCAAAGAAAAAGGAGTTGCTCATTGTTGTAAAGCCTTTCTTCTTCAAAACTTTGTAGCCATCTGAATACAGTTATTACTCATCAAGAACAAGTTCAGCCCGAAGCAGTCCTGTGGTGAGCTGTCTAATTTCTTTGCATGCTATAAATAGAAACTTTTGGTGTGTCATTAATCTGTATGCACTGGTTAGAATATTGAGGATGTGCTGTGTTTCACTCTTGTGCATGGATTGTGGTATTCTCTCAGTACTCAAAATCAAGGGCGGTAGTAATTAATGATTTCTGTATGAATGTGACAGCACATAATTTAAGTCTGGAACCATCATCACTAGAAAATTTTCAAGTTTTTATGTTTAGTTGTTGTTTCTGTGAAACTTGTGTTTTCAGCAGTATGTAATTCATTTTTGCGTTGGGTACCCTGTTTTTTCTTTGTGTCTTCCTACATTGAGCCATTTCACTTTCTTACTACCACTTTTGTCGTGGAGTGGAAGAAGAAATAAAACAAGCCAGGTTTTAAAAATTGTGTAGAAAACAAAACTATGACAGTTCTAGTAACCTAATTTTTCTAAAGTATTAAAGTTTATTTTTCAGTTTATAAAAATAGCATTAGTTAAGGAACATCCACAGTAAAAGCCTCCAGACCAATCCTCAGATGGAGCCTCTGTTCCTTTCAGAAATATTTTATGTGTGTATATGAGTACTTTTTATTTTTAACATAATCACTGCTCCCCAGTGTTTTCTTTAAGTATCTTTCTGTATCTGTTCATACAGAATTGTTTCATCTTCTTGTCACATTAAAATTTTTTTTAACAAGTAAGCTATGTCCCTTACTTTTTCCATTTAATTCTTCTAGAGGTAGTTTCATATCAGCACAGTCTTTATAATGGCAATATATTACTCCATAAGTGCATAGGTATGCATTTTGAAAACCATTCAGGTTGTCAAATATTTGAACCTTCTTTTATTGTTTTTGTTTTTACTTTTTTTGAGATAGGGTCTCATTATGTAGTTCAAGCTGGATTTGAACTCACTATGTAGTTCAAGATGGCCTAGAACTCACAGCAGTACTCCTGCCTTAGCCTCCTGAGTTGCTGAGGTTACAGGTGTGCACCACTATGCCTGTCTGTGATGAACATTCTAATCCAAGTATATTTTGTATACTTAAGATGAGTAAATTATAAAGTAAATTGCATATAATGAAATGATGAGATCAAAGAACATACATTTTAATTGCTATATATTACCATATTGACAACCACAAAACAACCAGTACTAATTTGCATTTCCAATGGCAAATGATGAGTTTAGAAACTACCTTGTTATCTTTAATAATGTCAGAATTATTAGTCTCTTAATGATCATCAAAGATTACTTTTTAGAATGGAATAGATGAGCTATATGGGCTGTCTTTTACATTTATGATTAGTTCAGTTCTGCAGTTTCCAAGTGGCAATTTAAAAAAACGCCACTCCTATATTTAACAAAAAATTTCACAGGGATGTTTAAGGACATAGAGGCTTTTTGACACACAAGGAAGAAGTTAACTTTTAACTTATTCTCTTTTTAACTTACTCTTACTCTTGGCAATTTTTGGGCTTGGTAGCATTTTTAAAGTCTCAGATGTAGTGGCCCCTTGCAAACAAAATTTGATAATATATTTTCAGTCAAATGTAGGACCATGTCTTGTGAGACACCTAGGTCCTACTTCATTTGCAACTTAGATTCAGAGTTACTATCTTAGTGATGCCAGAATGATTTCTTAGTGATGTCAGAATGGAGATTAAACCATACATACTGAAGGTGAGCCTTCTGTTGGTGAAGCAGGAAGAAGGCTTACCATGTAGGGTGACACTAGAAACATCTCCGAGTAGTTGCATAGGGATCAATAAAGGGAAATAAGAATCATCACTTCAGTGTCCTTGCTGGTAGGAAATTCTGTCTTTAATATATAGTATTTCATTTAAAAATATATTTTTTTCTTTCTTCCAAACTAAAACATTAAGTATATTTATTGACCCCTGATAGAATCCCATGGGGGCTGGAGGTTGAAAAGGCATGATATCTCTAGTTTTGGCTAGTTTATTCAGACTTCCCACTTTGTTTAACTTAAAGAAAGTTTTACTTTTTTCTTTGTGCTTTTTGGAAATATCTTTTTTTTTTTGAGTTAGCTCATTAGTATGCCTTGTAATAGTTTTTCTACTTAATAGCATATACTAGATTACACCAATTATAATGCTTGTAGAGTGTGTGCATGTTTCTCAAAACCTTCAGTCTGTGCTTAAAATTAAGACTGTAGTGAAGTTGAATCTTTTTCATTATCTGCATTTAATACCTATAGTTTATCAACGATGACAACATGAGTATTGTGTCTTCTGATCATGCCAGTCACGGGCGCAGGGAGAGTGTGGTGAGCATGGTTTGTATGCAAATACGACAATTTTTAAAGTGATGACAGTGTGTGATCATGTGAAATAAAGTAAAATTTATATTTGACAAAAATGAGCATTTTCCTTACATTTATTTATGTGAATAATTTGCCTTATATCATGTTTTTGAGAATACATGCTCTCACGTCTCGTATATCTGAAGTCATTTATTGAGGTCTTCACTTTTTATTCTTTGTTGATTTTTTTTTTTCTTTTTTTGGCTTTTTTGAGACAGGATCTTGCTATGTAGTCCAGGCTGACCTCAAATTCGTGGCAATCCTCCTGCCTCAGCCTCTTGAGTGCTGGGATTACAGGCATGTGCCACCATGCTCAGCTTCTTTGTTGTTATTTTGTGTGTGTGAATTTATATGTACAATTCGCCAAAAGAAAGTTTCTCAAAAAAAGTGCTTCTATCACTGTATAAAACTCATAATTACAAATAGTATGCCTTATTGCTTTCTTTATTGTTGTATTTAAGCTTAACCAATGATTATCCATCTGAGACCTATGAACTTTTTTTGATGAGTTACTGAAAACAAAATTAGGAAATTCTACTTTCAGACATTCAACTAAATAATTATTGAGAGAACAAATAGCTATATTAAAATACAAATGGTAGAATTTCAGGTTATTCTTTTTTTAAAAATAAAGAGGCATGAGAAAGATTTATTAGAGAAAAATACAGTATGTACTTGAGTGGAGTGTGAGTGCTCAAAGAAATGAAGCACCAGGTTATTCTTTTATGAAGTTGGAAATTTATTATAGAGAGTTGATGGTATTTTGTTACATTTAAGTAACTGAGTTTTGTAATTACATTGTTGAGGATTGTGTGTCAGATTGGAAATAGAATAAAGGACCCTAAAGAGGCTATAATTCTTTTAAGAAAAATACAAAGTATTTAATATGTTATGAACAATTGTAAACTCAGAATTTTCATAGAGGAAAGGAACACCAAATGTTTGTGAGATTTGTTGCCAAAAATGTATCTCATTAAAGCATTTGTTGTCCCCTTGCCAACCTGTTAGTGCTCATGCTCACAGCTGAAATACAAAGAACAAGCTCTAACACCTCAAGAGTTCCTTGCAAAGCAATGGAGTGGAAAGGGCAGCAACTTTATAAAATATTATGTCTGGACTTGCATCCTCTTCTACCTATTAGTTGTGTGAATGACAATTTCTTTATATTTACAGTGGAGATATGTCTTAACATATGAATTAAATGAATTACTATATAGAAAGTATCAAAATTCTGAGTCAGTAGGTGCTAATATTAGTGTGTATGAATCCAGGTTGTGTTACTATTATTGTGAATAAAAAATCATTTCTTGGTTGTGTTAGTACTCAGCAGAACTTGATAATATTAAGCTTGTTTTGTTTTTATGAGTGGGTTTCTGCATTCCTTTACTCAAGAAGAGTTTTGAAGCAAAGTAAATGGTAAGCTAAGGTAAGGAATAGCTGATGAGTGAGGTAAAAATAATTTATTAATTAAATGTTTAGAATGTGCCTATTTATATTTGTGGCAACTGTGTTAAGTGCCAGGAATAAAGTGGTAAACCAGAACAGATTTTGTACTTTGTGGAGCTTATATCCTAGTGAATGAGATAGAAAATAAACTCATAAAGGAACAAGAAGAAACAAATCCCAGGGTCTGTGAAGAGATTAAGCAGGTGATTTGATAGTGAAGGTTGGAGGCTGGGTACATATGAAGGTGACTCTTTGGATGGAGCGGTCAGACAAGGCTTCTCTGAAGAATTGACCTTCTAGCTGAGATTTGAAATTTAGGCATCAGCTGCTCAAAGAGCTGGAACTAGAGATTTCTAGACCAGTGCCAAAGCTTAAAGTGGAAAAGAACTAGATGACTGTGGGGAACCAAAAGGAGCCAGTGTGATTCCTTTCCGTAATTATTTTGTCCTACATTTCTTGTCTTGGAGAATATGAAAAAGAGGAAATTAAGGAAATTGGAAAAAAGGTGCAGTGAACACCCTACAGATAATTTATTATTCACATTTCATTGTAGAGAAATATTTATGCTCAACAGATATCTATAATAAATTATAAATTTTATTAAATATGGTAGAGGCTTTTTATAAATACTGCCCTAGGAATGGAATGCCTCTGTTGAGAATGTCAGGGGTCTTAAGCATGGGAGATTTGCTTGCCTTCAGGCAGTAAATAATCTCTGTAGTGTAGAATTGTAGTTAAGATGAATAAAAGAATTTAGGGAGTTGTGAGTTTGCTTATGAACCACTTTACTTTTCTGATTGCAGAGGTTTCCTTATTTCATTCCATGATCCTTTATATCAAAATGAAAACAAACAGCTTTTCCCCTATTGGCCAATGTTCTTATCTTTTTCCTCTCTCTTAACTGTTAAAGTGTCTCATTTTTTCCTCACTGAAAGGTTTCTGCTGCTGATTATTTTAGTCGCACCAGTCGTAGGGGAAGCATTGTCTCTGACGTGAATGATGTCAGTATCCCAGATTTGACCAATGTGAGTGTGTTGCATGGGGTGATTATGCTGTTTCAGGCTTGGGATTAACAACTAATACAGGACCTATTTTAAAATTAGGAATTTAATTTTCTAACTAGGAAATATTTATTTGAACATACACAAAACTACAGTTGTTTTGGGATATACTTACTAATATGTCCTTTTCTATCAGAGAACCCCATTAGCAGCTTCATCAGTTACCAGTGTTTTGCTGATTTTGTTTCATCTGTTTCTTCTTTTCTTTTTTTTTTCTGAATTGTTTTAGAGCAAATCTTACACATCATTTCCCAGTATTTAGTTCAGTGTGCATCTTGAACAGATTGTTTTCAGATTTACTATGCTATTATCATACTTAATGAAATAAAGAATTAATTCCTTTGTACCATCTAATACTAAGCCAATTTTCTGAATTCCTGATTGATCTTAAAATTTTCCCCCTTTTGTGTTTGGTGAGTCTATAAAGGGATAGGTAAACTTTAAAAGCTGAGTAATAAAATATACTACTTAGTAAAGCTTCACTAATTTGTAGTAACTGGGAAGAATCTGAATAGATTTTAAACATTTAGGTTATGGCATTGCTTTGAAAAAGTATGCCAATCTATTGCTTTCGTATTCACTGGGACCTGAGTTGAGAATAGGCTGTCAGTGGAGGTACTTTGTCGGATTTGTCTTAATGAAGGAACCTCAGTCAGCACATCAGAACCTACCTGCTGACCTCTTTTTTGTGACACCTCATCTCTGTTACTGGCATAAGTACTGTTTTGCCCATGGACAACCAAAAACCTAATTGTCAAGTGCTTTGGAAGAGAGGAGAGACAATGTTTCTTCCTAGAAAAATTAGACATGAATTTTCAAATAAAGAGATCCCCGCTTGTAATCAGCAGTTTACTCATTATATAAAATAGCTATTTCTGAACTATTTTTATCCTAGAAAATAGTTTTGTTTTTGAAGTCTGTGTTGCTGAGGCTAGGATTGAAATTGTAGTCCTCCCACCCCTCCCTCTCCAGTAGCTAGAATTACAGATGTGTGCCACTATGCCTGGTGTGGAAATTATTCATTTATTTAAGTACTGAGGCTCCAACTTAGAGGCTTGCACATGCTAGGCAAGTGCTTTACTATTGAGCTACATGCCAGCTTTTTAAATTTTGAGACAGGGTCTCACTCAGCCGAGGCTCTAGAATTTGGCAGTCCTCCTGCATTAGCTTCCCAAGTAGCTGAGATAATAGGTACACCACCCTGCCCAGCTGAAAATAGTTTCAAGTGTGGTCCTTAAGTATTCCAGATTTTTGATTCTCAGATCTTGCTGTGGAGGAGTATCATCCTTGCATGGGTTGAATCGTAATTCTCACTGCATATAAAGTTAGAAGACTGACTTAACTAGTCATTCCTCTGAAATAATGGCCGATTTTATTATTTTGCTTTGTAACTCCGTTTTTCCCTAAGTATAGACAATTAAATTTATTGTGTATATTTTTTCTCTTAAAAACTTAGTTTCTATGACACTCTAATTTATGATTTCTGAATTACTGGTTATGTCCTCCTTAACATTTATTTCTTGGCAGTTTGCTTTAGTAATTGCCTACAAATGAGAAGGGTTTTTAAAAAATCTGTGCCTCTACTAGTTAATTACATCTAAATTTTTAGCATAATAAGCAAAGGATTCTTTAGAACTGGGCTTTGCAAATCTTCTTATTTTACAGCGTAAGAGTCATTGGCTTTTATATTTTTAAATGGCTGTGGTACTAAGTATAGTACCTATATAATAAACTTAATTTTGCCTCTTGGCAAAGCTTTTAAAATACTTGCTTGTCCTCCCCCTAGAGCAAGTAACTTTCTTGGGTAGTATTTCTTTTAGAGAATATGCTGTAATTCCGTTCATTACAGACAAATAAAAAAGGGACTTGAGCCAGGCACAGCATTATGTCTATAATCTCAGCTCCTTGGGAGGTGCTGAGGCCAGGTGATTTCAAGCTTGACACTAGCCCTGGCAACTTACCAAGACCCTGTCTCAAAAAGGATTGGGAGCAGGCATGTAGCTCAGTGGTAGAGTGCCCCTGGGATCAATCTCCATTATATCTCTCCCATACTCAGATGTGTGTATAGGGATGGACTTGGTACGTCCCTTCTTTGCTTTTTTTTTTTGTTACTGGGGATCTAACTTGGGACATTGCGCTTGCAAGGAAGGCACGGTGCCACTGAGCTAAATCCCCGGCCCCCTTCCTTGCTTTTTAAAGATGAGCTGGAAATCTACATTTTTATGTGTAATATTCAAATTTTTAAATGTTGACAATGAGTTAATTTTAGAAGAACTTTCTGGCTACTCCACTGTGTACAAAATGAATGGTTAGAGGCTGATAATTTATAACTTGAGCAAAGAGGTACTGAAAAAGGATGCCAGACCCTAGTTCTGTAAGATGATGTAGTATTTATAGTTGCTTTAGCCTCTTGTTTTCTTCTTTCACTTCTATAGGTTGAGCAAGAATAGAGGAAAAGAATGTAATAATTAAGCTCATTTCTAAATGGAATCCTGATCGAGTTTTACTTTAGGAAATTTAAAAAATTGTTCTCAGCTGAATCTGGTGGTGCACACATGTAATCCCAAACTATGGGAAGCTAATGCAGGAGGATTACAAGTTCCAGCCCAGCTTGGGCAGTTTACCAGTTTACTGAGACCTTGTCTCGAATAAAGTTGTTTATTTTTTGTTGTTGTTGTTTTCTTCCCTTCTGTGGTCAGGGAATCATGTCTCTTTCTTTTTTTTTCCTTTTTGCAAGCAGTTTTTAAATAGCATTATAAAATCAGTACAGGTTGAGCATCCCTAATCCTGAAATCTGAAATGTTTCAAAATCTTAAATTTTTTATCACGGATAAGATACAAGAAGTGAAAAATCTCACAGCTGACTTCATGTGATGGGTTGCAGTGAGAACTCAGGAGCACTAAAAATATTTTATAAAGCAGTCTTGAGCTTATGCGTCTAAGGTATGTAAGAAGCACAAGTGAATTTTATGTTTAGACTTGGGCCACCCCTGCCCAACCCCTGCTTGGCCAGATAGCTCATTATGTGTATGTCAGTATCCTCCAATCCAAAATAATCTGAAATTGGAAACACTTCTGGTTATAAGCATTTCAGATAAGGGATATTCAACCTGTATATATAAATTAGATGTTAACAGAAGGTTAGGATCCAGTGACTACATTGAATAGACTACACCATAAATACTTTCTTAGACTACAGCAATGATGGCAAACCTTTTAGAGCTTTCAGTGATACCAAACAGCTGGCTGTAGCACGTGTGCCATAGGTTTCTCACCACTGGACTATAGTCTACACCTTAAACACGATTAGATTTTAACAAACTTAAAAAGCCTTTGTAGAATCTGGGATACTTTTTTAGTCATTATTATAAACATTAGCTTGTCATTGTAAATAGTTCTGTGAGACATTCTCATTATTAAATCCCTTGGGGTTCTTAGAATATACCAGGTTTCTCCTAGCTTTACAGTGTAATCTCAGAGCTAAGAACTGAAGAGTCTCTGGCCAAGGCACTGCAGCCAAAATAACTGGACTGTGTGTGGTATGGCTGCTCTGGGCATTTTTGCTGGCTTAACAGTCTCTGAAGTTTGGTGCATGATGAGTTTGGGTTGCGACAATTAGGATTTGTCAGAAGATAATGAAACAGCAGAATCAACATTGTGGTGGCCTAGTTCAATACACAACCTTTGAAATTTAAGATTATTCCAAGGTGATGTTCTACTAAAAAATGGATGAGTTTGGGAGTCATTTTTTAAGAGGTGGATATGAGCAAGGATTTCACATAGACTTGCAAGAATTTAATTTGAATGCTGCTTGCTTTCATCTTTGACTGGGTTGGAAATACTGAGGCATAAAAATTATTTTACTGAGATATATGTGCATTTTAAAAACATTGAATATTAGGCAATGCATTTTGCTAGTGCATCTTTGAGGGAGGATTATTCCCTTTTATGGCAGTAATTGGTAATGTTAAAAACTTTCATCTGCTGTCATTACTTGTTTTTATTATAAAACATTTTGAATATTGTTTTAAATAATCCAAATAAAATAGTTTAGTTTTGACAGTATAATAGCAAGAAATAGCAAAAAAGAGGTAAATGTCTAAAAGTAGCATTTCTGTCACTGGTATAGTACCTATAATAATAGGCATTTATAAACATTATGAATGTCAGGTAATAAAAATACTAAATACTTTGAAATATGAAAACATTAGGATGAAGTGACCTGAATAGAGGCAGAAATGTTTCATATTTTAATAATTAACTGGAGAAGGTTTTGGAATCTCTTCTCTAGATTGGGCTGGGCTGGTTGGTCTAAGAGTTGGAGTCTGGGTACATTTTATTTGCATTGAAATAAATCTCTTATGTGACTTTTCCACACCTAGTGGTAATTGGGATAGTATATATAAATAAATGAACACTGGAGTTCATAAAATGGGCATTTGCATCCAACTTTGATATTTAGTAATTGTTCAGCCTTCAAAATCTATCATCTGAATTTTCCCCCTTAGCTATAAAGTCAGATTTTTGAACTAGACCTTTAAGGTACTTCCTTTTATGAAACAGTGTCTGAAAGAACCCTAAGTCCTATCAGCGGAAGATAGGTTAACTCAGTTATGGCATGTCAAGATAACAGGCTACTATGAAGCTATTAAATGAGGTTAAGTTCACAAGTGCAGATAGGTTATTATGCATTTATTTATTTATTTATCTGACAAATTTTGAATCTTGTATACTAGGGACGATTTTTGTTATTAGGAAAGAACACATAGGTATAGGGGTTTTATTAGAGAGATAGAGCAGACTATAAATGAGTATAGTGTCAGGAAGTGATAAATGTTATAAATAAAAATGAAGTACTTTCTCAAAACTTTCAGGGAAAAAGAAGATACAGAATATATCTGAACACTACGGTTAGGATTTTTAAAAACTTAGGCCTTTGTTGTTATGGTGACTGGGGGGGGTCAGAGTATGAAATGGTAGTGAGAAACCTATTTCTCCTACCTTT